CGAGCCCTGCCCGAACGACGACAGCTGGAGAGCCGGGACTTGCATAATTTTGTAGAGTAACGTCCGGACTATCTACGCATGCAAAAAAATTACTAACATTGTATGTTAGTTTTCTGAGAACGGAGCTAGTTTTCCAAAGATCCTCTAGAAACCCGATCTCTGGAATTTTTTCAAAAGCTACTTCTGCTTGTAGAAAGTTCTGCTCAAGTCTTGGCTATTGAACAGCGAAAAGCGCAGGTCTCTATCTCATTCCTATCAAAAGCTATTCAAAAAGTGGCTGACTGTCTTGTATTTTGGAACGCATAGTAGTACCTTATTCTTATAGAACAAATAATGATAACTTTCACACGATGAGAATGGAGCACAATATCACTGTTTCAGTATGTACTATCCCTATTTCTGTATCGAGTGAAAGTTACTAGGTACAGTTTATGTTAAAGTATGAATCATTTCTGATAGAACGGAAAGAAATACTTAAGAAGAGAAACAGAATATGTGCAGTGACCAGTGATATTGTGCTCCATTCTCATCGTGTGTAAGGTATCATTATTTGTTCGATAAGAATAAGGAGTAATAACACCCTCTCACAGTGTGGACTGAATTGTGTTGCTTGTCGTGCCTTAATGCTGTCTTTCTTGAAGGAAATCCTTGAGAAAGGTCGCAACCAGCTGTGGAATATTCTTTGATTCTTTCAGAAATGAGTTCTGTTTGACTCTTTAGTAACTACCTGATCAGCTGGTGTAAAATTAAAATTAAGTAATTAAGTAATTTCGAAATTAAATTTGGTTATGAAAAGATGTGGCCTAGTCTCCTGTGTCAAATGGTGAAAACTATAGTTTTGTTTTTGGTTCTTAAGTTAGTTCGGAAAACAAACGTCATTATTTTAATGGACGCAGAGCACTAAAATTCCATGCAAATAGATAGAGGTTCCAAAAATGGACTACTTTACGTTTTGGAGAAGAGTTTGAAAATGAAGTAAATAAAGCATCTTGCAACTTTACGAAAAAACTCAATTTCTCAGTGAAGAAAGCGTACTAGCATAAGGCCTAAAAACATTTTGTCACCCATAGTTCTGTGTGTTGAACAGAATGAGATAGGTTTCAACAATAAAAGATTTTTGTCATGTTTTGATCTATCTTGTAAATACTCAGCAGACTCATGCACCTTCTCTTAATGGATCAGCTTTAACATTTTCGTTAATAGCTAATCTTATTTTATTAGAACAGCTGCTGCTCCTTTTTCAACGTAATGAGGATCAAATTTTGATTGAAAAAGACAACGAGAACATAGTTTATTTTGTGTTAATTACTTTTTCATAACAACAAAATTCAAAAAACAAGCGGGTTTTTGATGACTTGAGAGTAGAAGGGAGTAATGCAAAAATTTGTCCGTTGTTCTCCATTTATTTTTCTGAAGAAAATCTATGGATTAGCTAAAGCACATATTTCTGTTATTGTAAGTTCTCGCCTGTAAATATATAACTCATCGATAATTCCTAAAAATACTCCCAGTGAAGCTGTTGTTGTAATACAAGCAGGAGCTGTACCCGATGGACTTGCATTTTGTTTCCAAATTGTCTACATGGGAAACTCGACAAGCTCTAAAACTTGACTAGATCAGAATCTTTTCTAGATCGTACTCAGTATAACAACGCGGAAAAGTGGTTTGCGAATGGGGATGTTCGGTTCTCGGTTCTAGAACCTGAACCGCAATTCCAATTTTCGACTTAGAACCGAATCGCGGTTTCGGTTCTTAATGAGAACTCCAAGAACCGAACATTCATACTTTTGAGGGCATTCTGTAGTTGAGAGAATCGGATCAATCACGCTTTATTAGTAATCAAAGAAGATGAAGGTCTTGATATAATTTTTTCTGAAATTTTCACCATACCACACTTATCGAATAGTCTGAGGGTTCTGTAAGTTAATTTTGATGTTACAGATTAAAAATATTAAGAGAGGTCGAGCACCTTGCTCCCCCTCTTATTGTTTTAGACAGAGACTACTTTACTCTCTCGCTCTCTCCTAATCAACATCTCATTCATCTCGTTCATATATTAATTCATTTATTATCGATATGTCGCTGTACGGTTCATCTAATGAAACGTCTATGATTGCTCAAACCATTATCGATTATCGAGCGCAGGAGCTTCTCCATTCCCCCCAGACGTTCGCGGCAAGTCCTTCCTAGAGTTTTCTTTTGCCCCTGAAAAATTTTTAATTTTTCGAATAAAATATTAGAGATAGCAAAGCTCTTTATACGCTTCTTAAATTATGTTGAAAAGTGATTCTTTCTTTAAGATATCCGTATCTGGAATAGGTATGCACCGGTATCGGTAACCATACCGAAATACGGATACCGAAAATACCGACTTTTTTGGATATTTTCATTTGAAATGTGATAGCTTAGCGTCATGGACAGCCAGACACACAAAAAACACTCAGCTGTGTATTTTGAGCATAGAAAATAGAGGAAAACTTTGGCTTTAAACAGCAAACAAAGCTCTTGTTTTGTGTCTCTGATTTTCTCTGGGTGTCCAGGACGCTAAACTATCTCATTTCAAATGAGAACATCCAAAAAAAAGTCCAAATCGAAAAAAGTCGGTATTCGGTATACCGATACCGGTCCATACCTAATCTCGAAGTTAATAAAAATTTAAAGGCTACAGCGTTTTCATCTACGTATTTTACCGATTTCCGGTTTGATTTAAGCTCTAGTCCTGAACCAGAACGTATAAGAAACGTTTTTTAACTTCAGAAGTATGTCACGATCGCTTTAGAGATACGAGAATGAGTATAATTTAACAAATCACAATGTGCATTTTTTAATATCAGACCTTCTGCTACTCAACTAATATTATCACATATTTCTTTTAACAGGAATAAACTCGGAGACATGTTGACAAGGGAAAGTGTTCAGAGAGTGTTCGCCCAATTAAAGTGTGAACATAAAGTTTTCGAACTCTATCTGTCAGCGTTCAGGCGATATTGTCCAAACATGGATCAAACTGGGACTGTTTGTAGTTTGATCCTAGAAAAGAAAAGGTCAGTTCAGACAAAACATGGCATCAGCGCATAACGGCATACTTGAAACTTTTCCTAGGTTTGTTCGACATCTTATTTCAGCTAGCAAAGTCTGCTTTACAAGCCGGTATTAGTGGGGAAAATAAATTTGTGAAGAGTATGGAGAAAGATGATTTTTAAGAATCTCTCGGAAACCTTGGATATAGTCGAAATTGTTGCAGATTCTAACAGTAGTAACTAAATCTTTTTGGCAAAAACTCATATTTTATCAAAGTCAAAAATTCAAAAATTCGAAATGTTTTCTATATGAATTGCCACGAGAGCCTTCATAAGCCCGCCCAGAAAAGTCATAAAATATAGAAAGTGATTTTTGGATGAACGTTCTGCATCACAAGAAACCTATAGGTACAAAGCCTTTTAGTCTGGACCCTTCTTTGGAATTTTATTTGCTCATCGAGAGAGAAAACTGTCGTCTTTCAAATGAAGTATCTCACGACTTTTCAATCCGTTGGTTTTTCGAGATATTCAGGTTTACAGAAAACCAAGACCGATTTCTGGGGCACTTTTTTCCTTGGAACACATAGACGCAGATTAAGAGCTACTTTAATATTTTATTGAACTATTCGCAAATCACTCAGTCTTGCTTTGGGGCTAGTTTATAGAGAATGTGTGTTAAAACAAATAAAGAAAGTAGCGATTCAACAACGAAATTTTCCATAGAGAATTAACGTTGTAGTCTAAGTATGTCGCAGTTTGAATAGATATGGCGATGATGAGCCTTTTCAAAATTCCAGTCTTGATTTTCTGTAAAACCTGTATAGTTTGAAAACGCAACGGATTCAAAAGTTGTAGAATACCTCATCTGAAAGATGACAATTTTCTCTCTCGATGATTAGCAAATAAAATTTTACCGAAAGAGGCATCATACCCACTAGAAACAGCTAAAATCGTAGTACGATTGTCCTGCGAAAGTAGAGCTCGCTGGACTTAATTGGCTTCGTAAAAAGAGAGAAATGAACTCGGTTGTAAGATGACTGATGTGCCTTGCAGATATATTTGACAACTTTCAAATTTCACCCAAAATTTAGTTGATGAGGAGAAAATGTCTATTGGTCTGTTACGTCTATTATTTTTAAAGGTTTTAATTAATTATGATTTTATGACATTTATCATTTGAGAAAAACAGTTTTGGAGTAAGACATGTTGTTAGATCTATACTTACATTTTTTGTGTTTAAAAAGACTTTTGAAATTTTATTTGTGAAAAAAAAATAACTATATAAAAATAACTCACCCTCACAGTACGATATAAGAAACGTCAATTTCTAAATCTGATAAATTTGCTACGTATTGTTCGGATTTTATCTAGTATACAAATTCATAATGACACATTTTATGTTGAATAAATGTTTTAATAATACCACAAAATCGTTTATATAGCATCCATGCATATTTAAATATTCAATTTTACTTGTTTCTTCATATTCACGTTTTTTCTTCAACAAGAGCAGTCGTTTCTTCCTTTTCGCTCTCTATACATAAAGAACATATAATGACTAATTCATTTAATGAAGTATTTAATATCTATCTTTCTTCTCTAAATGATTCTACTAAAATATCATGCACTGATCTTTCTCAAGTTCAATTAATTGAATTATTGAGACGATTCAAATCTAAAATGAATTCAAGTGATGAAAAGATTGTTCACTTAAATAATGATATTGAACTTCTCCATGAAAGATGTGGCGATTTACGTGAATAACAAGGTAGTTTACTTAAGATGAATCAGCAGTTGCTCGATCAGTTAGCCACTTCAACTCAACTACAGTTATCCACAACAAATTTGATTGATAAGCTGTCTTTCACAATCGAAAAATTACACTCAGCACTTGAAAATCAACCGAAATTCGACGTTCATCATCAACAGCAACTTATCAATACTCCATTACCGGCACCTCCGTTATTACAAAATAATTTTGAATCACAATTATGTATAACCAGATCTCGTCTACGACAATCTCAATCTCAATCATCTATTCCTGTTACTATCACTGGATCTAGTGTCGTTATAGATTTAGAACCTGGAAAATTATCGGCGGGTGATAAACAATTTGATATAAAAATTCATACTAAACCTGGAGCTACAATAAAACAACTGATAAATCTTGTGAACAATAATAGAATTGGTCAACATTTTAACAACTCATCTCGTGCTATTATTTCAATTTGCTCAATCGACATGAAACAAACAGATTCAAAAGCGGCAATTGATGGAATTAACCAATTAGTTCTAGCAATAAGGCGTAAACATCAACATATTAAGCCTGCATTTGTGACGATTCCACTGCAATTTGAACCACAGTTAAAACCATCCCTACAACAGCAGCTTAATCATGATATAGAAGACTTTAATCGTTAGTTATTAACTCTAGCTGATGTTAATATTATTGATTGCAAATAGAACCGAAACATGCTGACTCCTGATGGTATTCACTTAAACAATCTTGGTACAAATACGCTAAGTCAAGCTACTGATGAGTTTTTGAAGAGTTGTATTTAGTATTGAAACTCTATTTGACCCTTCATCCACGAGCAGTACAATGATTGATTTGCAAATCAGTTCTCCTTTTTCCCCTAGAACTGTAATTGCGCATAACCTTGTCCATTGTACCCCTATTTTGACACTGTTTAATTTCTCTACTCGAAATAGTGCTGCTTCTGATCAAGTTAGTCAAATAGTTTGTAGTTTTTCTCCTTTTTCTCCTCCACAGCTTATAGATCCTCCTCTTTTTGGTCCGTTATCAAGCTTAAATTCTGCCGCGCCTGTCTTTGTACCAATGACCTCTAGGTTTTTACTGTTTTCACATAATATTCAGAGCTTAACCAAGAACTTTGACGCTTTAGAACAATTTTTAAATTACCATAAACCGACTGTTGTTTGTTTGCAGGAAACATTTCTATCTTCTGTTATTTCAGACAGAGAGATTTCTATTCCAAATTATT